ATTAAATACACATTAACACAAATTCAACACACTGTAGTAAACAGATAAATGGAGGCAGAAGATGTCTTTCAGTCATCAATGCACACATTCAACGATAAACAGGAGCTCTTTTAAACTGGGCAACGTTTCCTTCACAACATCTGTCCCATCAATGAGGAATCAGATTCAGAAATACTTTAATAATCCCAGGGCGAAATTACTTTTGTTACATTACTCCATCTGTAATAGACTGACTATAGGACACAATTTCATACAATATAAATAATTAGGGTCCCCGCTCCATCTCGCCATCCGTTTGGGGGTCCTTGGCCTGCAAAACGTTGAAGACCCCTGCCCTAGACTATTCCATCAAAAGGGCCGATGACTGACCTGCAGGTAGTTGCCGGTGTAATTGCATAATTAACGCAAACGTACAGGTAAAAAAATCTTGAAACATGAATTTCAAAACGATTTCTTAAGGACTGTGACCTGACCAGATGTCCCAGTTTTCTAGGGACAGTTCCCATTTTGGCCAACCAGTGCTTAACAAATGTTGTCCCTTTAAGATCCGAGGAATGAGAGAAAAAATTGGGTTTGTAAACTGTTATTATGGTAGTTGATTCGTAAGAACGCAAAGTGGGGTTGTTGCTAGTAATAACAGAAGGAGCGCCACTCTAACAAATAATAGATAAAAGAGCAGTGTGTAAGCAGTTCACTGTCTGTTCTGTAATATTATGTGCCTGTGAATCAGGGAAGGACTGGCCATTAGTCATAGTGGTATACCAAAATATGTCACCCTGGTACTTGATAAATGCTAGTCTGCAGCCTATTGGTTATTTTCACCACTGACACAAGGTTAGGCCAAGCATGCAGTAACATGGAACACATTTCTCTTTGGCCAAGGTAGCAGAACATAGTGTTATACCGCCGTGCCATGCAATTTATATGAAAAAATAAAGCAGTGACTGAAACTATGGTGAAAAAAAAAACACATGCATTGGGAAATATTAAGAGAATCATCTGGTAAGTTGTGCATTTAATCTGTTCAGCTTGGAGCTTCAAATAATAATAGCTTCTGGTTTTTTTTGGAAATATAGCTTTTTTGGCATATGATCAGCTGAGAAAACAAATATTTACACTAGGATCATACTAGAATGACTTCAGTTACTCATCCATAAATTACCTACTTCAGAGATACATTCCTGTTGTTACATTTGATTTTTATAATTTAAATGTAAGTTAACATGTTAAAACAAATTAAACGATAACTGTCCCCATTTCTTCCTTTTTTATATTCGTAAAATTGTATTTATTTATTTATTTATTTATTTTTCTGAGGCGATTATGTCTCCAGATTTAGTTCCAAGAAATCTGGTCCCCTTATGTATTTTAAGTTCTTAACTTCTTTACCAGGTTATGACTTCTTTAAAGATACTCAACGTTAAAAGTAGAGAAAGTCTACAAATAAAGAACGACATTTATATGGTACTGACAGACCTTAAGCCCAGCCCTCCTACAATTCACATCCCCACACATACACAAACACTAGAGAGTGTTGATTTATGTTGTTCTGTTTTTACCATTTTGTTAAAACTATTGTTTTTCAGTGTTGAAACAATAGGTAGTAAATATTATATATAACATTTGAAAAGAGATATAATTAAGAAACATTTTAAAAGTACAATAATTGTTTTACATATTTTGTAGCATTGCATGTTAGTTTGCAAAGGGGTGATCCCTGTCCAAACCTTAATGCTGTTTGAGGGGGGATTAACAATGGAAAGACTTTAGGTAAGCATTTGTATCTGATTTATTTCAGAACATTTATTTTAAATTAATTTTGTAAAATTTCTACAGTGATATTATTTCCAATGCTGGTTTGCATTAAATCTATCCAATTCTAAAACCTGTTTGCTTATTTGTGAGGGCGTCTGTTTATCCATATATAGTTTTTCCTTATCTGCCACTCAATTAAAGCAACTGGGTTAGGAACTGTAAAAGAATACATGCACATGTTCTGTTTCTTAATACTAATTAATGATGAGACGTAAAAACCAAAACCAACGAGCCCACCCACATATCTCTTCTTTGCCCTGAATGGGCTGCATTCTGCATAACATGCAGCAATTCGGGGGCCAAATTTCCCCATGCAGTCCTAAGGATGTAATAAATATCAAATGAACGGCACATTTAATAATCATTTCATAAATTATCTATTTGTTCTATTGCGGCATTGGTCATCCTCCATATTCCACTTGCTTGATCCCTTACTTGTTCCCACACACAGATATACTAAAGTGAACTATTTTACCCATGGATCATTATGAGGTGTTTACAAATACACGCAGAGCCAAACAGGAAAAATGCAGTAATCTTAACAGGAAAAGTAATATTTAAACCAGACAACCTTCCCTTTATGTCTCTTTCAGGACCCTTTAGCTGACTTATAGTCAACTTAAGGCAAAGAAATAAACATTGTTCAATAAAACCTGAGATATTATGTGATCTCCAAAATAAATGATGATTACAATACCTCTGGTTAACAAGGCTCTTATGAGCTTAAGTAGGATAACACGCATATTAAAGCAGTGGTGGTTGATATTCCCCTATTTAAATAACCTGTATAATGAATTACATATACTTGTTGCAGCAGGACCACAATGTTAAACCTTATTATGATTAGGTTGTGATTTTTTGAAGGTATAAGCCCAAGGGTAATTTTTCATTTGACAGCACTCTGTTCTATTGTATAATTAAAATAATAACAGCAATCATTCAAGAGACTAATACCAGTTACTGTAAGGGTTACTGGAGCAAATAGTTTCTTTAGAGTATAGATGTAAAGATGTAAAGAACAAAAACACAGAAAAAAAAACACTAATGAAAGCTATGAAAGAGAATTGAGTCAAATTAAAACAGACATTTACTTGGAAATAATGTATGAATAAAGAGCCCATTGAAGCCCCTCATATCTGTATTCTCAGTCCGATGTGTGTATTTTTACAGTATGTTTTGTTTAAGTTGCGGAAAAGTGGGAAAACAGACTAACTTTAAACTATTTGTAGCATTCCACTAACCCATGTAATTCAATTATAAAAATGCATTAAAAAGGTATTAGGGGTAGAGGCAGTTTAATGAAGCATGTTTACAAGGGGATATTGTTTGTAATGAACTGCTTCTGGGCTGATCTCTGGGACTAAAATAGGAAAAGGGGAAAGAGGTGAGGGGCTACGGTGATATTTGGGGAGATGTTAAAAAGGGTGAATGACAATGTCAAAATACTAAATAAGGTTTTGTTTTTTTGTTGTTTTCAAAAGTTTATTCCACAATTTCAGAGGCAGGCATATAATCAGTGTTTTACATTGCTTACTCTGCTCATTTGCAGGAAGAAGTTTAAACAACCTGCAAAGAATTTACCTCTGATTAATGTGGAATCTGATCACACATACATTTTAATTGGGAAAGTTTTACATAGACTGACTCGAGCAGCACAGACTTGTGAAGTAGAGCAACAATTATACAAGACTTCGATTATTCTGCAAAAAGAAAAATCTAAAAAAAAAAAAAAAAAACTGGGTGGTGTGCATATGCTCCTAATTTTATAGCATTTTTTGCCGTGATTACAGCTGCGTTTGTTTTGGATGTGTTTCTACCAGCTTGCAAGTGCGATGAATCTGGGAGTGTCTGTCAAGCAGTTTAAGTCTTGCCTTTTTCTAACCATCGTTTGGACACACCTTTTCATTTAAATGGCTTGTTCTTATTTCTGATACTTTCTGCATTGCAGGTATATATTGAAGATAACAAATCTTTGAAGCAAAAGTAAACCATTAAATGAGAAGCAGTGTGCAAATCTTTTCCCGGTAGTAATGACTCCAAGGTAAAAAGCGTCCAGTCAATGTCTGTTTCAATGGTAATTGGTAGAAAAGGTGCTGAAGGAATCATCATGGTAGGAAAAGCACTCTATGAGATATACTACAGACAGAAACTTTAGCTGATACGACCAAATGCTATAAATGACACGTCACAGAAGGCAGGTTTAAAGGACAGTGTAAATACACTGATCATGGCAATGCAGGAGCAGGCTATATATAAGGGCTTCAACTACGATTATTTTGCAAATTGATTCATCTGCTGATTGTTTTTTTAGATTAATTGATTAATAATTGGATAGCCAAAGGTTCCATAAAGAACCTTTGGCTATCCAATTAGTTTGTTTGTTTTACCAGGTTAAACAAACTTCTCCACTTGAGGAGTTCTTCAAAATGTTTACATATTTCTTACAATTTTTTCATAATTACTGCTCTGAGTGGGTCGCTCTGCCAGCGAAAGGCATATTTTAGAGTTTCTATACTCAAGGTAACAATTCATCGATTAATTCATGAGTTAAAAATTATTTTAATAATCGATTAATCACAAATAATCCGATTGATTGTTTCAGCCCTAAAACAAACCTTGAATTTTTGGATCTTTAATTTCTGGACTTAGATGTCAGCTTAGTATTTGTTTTCAGCCCTGTGGTTAAATACTTGATTCGTAAAACTTGTGATTACGACAAAGCCAGTACTGATTCAATCAAAACTTAATGAAGTGTGATTATAAGACATTCAACCATAATGTTTTTGGCGTATAAAATCTGCAGCAAGTATGTCGATGAGGGCAAGCATTAAAGAGAGAAGAATTTACAAACAGATCCAGCTCTGATGCCACTGGGAACAACTCACGCTTTGAAGCAGAAAATCTAAGACAAATCACAATTTACCAACTAATGAAACCACTCAAGATTATCCCCTTCTATCCGTCTCTGCCCGCTGTCCTGAAAACTGCATTACTCACAACAGCAGTGCCTTATCTGGCTTGCATAAATGCTTGCTTTGTTTCCACAATTGAACCCAATGATATTAATAATAATAAAAGATCTGGAATTGAGTTTTGCTGAATTGGGTCTTATTTAAAACAAAACTATCATAACAAATCAATATGCTTTACAGAAACCAGCAAAGACAAGACTGCCATATACTTACCCTCTGTGGAGTGTACTTGGGTCAGAGTGATGAGAAACCAGCAAAGGGTGTGTAGTGTCCACAGGCAGCATGCCATGGTGCCGAGTATTGATGCTTTGTGGCAGGTTGGTGTCGTGGCTAACAGCTTCTGATTAGAAAAGTCCAAGCCAACTGATTTCAAAGACGATCATGATCGATTTTCTCCCCTGCAACATGGAACAAAAGAAAGCATTTAGGATATGAAATTTAGTTCACATGTGTACTCTGCCCCTGAGGTACCACTGGTCTTCAGAGGGCCCTCAATGTTGCACAGACATTACAATGGAGAGATTTGATCAACTTTAACCCTCCTATCGTCCTCAAATATAGTAACAAATTTGGTCCTTGGGGTCAATTTGACCCCAGGGATATTTACCTGCAGAAAATGATTTACAGAATATTGTTGACCAAGTTTTTGTGACAGGCACTTTGTTTATTTGTTGAATACATAAATAACCCCTTGAAAATCAGTGAGTTGACCTTCCCTCTAGCGCCACCATCAGGCCAAACCTTTAAATGAAAATGAGTTTATTTTGATTTTTTTATACAAATCTTCTCAAATTTACAGGTTTTGAGCACATTCATGACTCTCACCAAATGAACCATATTGATTAATGTTGGTGACTCCCCCTTTCCTCTCATAAACATATTTATTTACTTATTTTTATCTATTTTGTTGTAATATATTTGTTGCTAGTTACTGTAGGATCTTACTCACCCCTCCTCTTTTGTTATCCGGGCTTGGGACCGGCAGTGGCAGAGTTATAGAGTTTTTTTTGTTTGGTTTTGGTTTTTTATGATTTTTTTTGGTTGTTTTTTCTGTTTTTTTTTTTTTTTTTATTCATTTGTGTGACAGAAAATGGATAATGAGAACATGTCACGTAGTAGTTAGAACATGGAACAGTTTTTAGAGAGAAACAACATGAAAATCCATCCATTTTGAACAGTGTGACAATGTCAGTAGCTAAAACGTGGAACAGTTCATGCCACAGTAGCTAAGCGTTTAGTCTGCACTACTGTACACAGGATGTGCAGAGTGTGTGTGCATGCTCCTTGCAGACATACTTTTTGCATTTTGAACAGGTCATGCTGGTCTTGCAGTCGTTTCGGGTGGGACAGACCTGACACCTGCCACGTTTCTTGCCTGCAGTTTGTGCCACTGGGGGAGTTGGGGTGTTTTTCTCTCTCTGTATGTCCCTCACAATAGCTGCAGCAACTGGTGATGCTCTTGGAAGGCTCTGTCTTCTCTCAATTTGAGGCCTGACCAGTGCATTGCCAAGCTCCTCCAGGAAAAGCCTCCTTCGGCTGAGTTTTCCCCTATTCCAGTCTTTGTTTATCTCACACCAAATCACGAACGCATTATATGCACTCACATCAATGATGTGGAAGAAGATGACAAGGGGCCAACGGGCAGTCATGCGTCGACAGCTGTATGTGGCTGTGACCTTGTCTAAATTGTCCACCCCTCCCTTTGTTTTATTGTAGTCCAGCACCATTTGTGGCTTTTTGTCTTCTCTGCTGCTCAGGGCAGCATCTTTGTGCATGGTGCTGAGCAGCAGGACATTTTTCCCTTTCTTGGGACAGTAGGAGACCAGAGTTGCTTTCTCAGTGAAGGCAAACATGGAAGATGTTACCTTCCTGCTCTTGACAGAAAGGAGTTCAGAGGGAAGCTCTGGCTTGTTCTTTCTCACCGTCCCCAACATCGTAACCTGCCTTTTGAGCAGTTCCTCACCCAGGGCGTAAGACGTGAAAAAATTATCACATGTAATATTATGCCCATGCAGTCCTTCAGCCATATCAAGCACAACCCTTGTGCCCTGATTTTTTTCTGGTGCTTCGCCACGAGATTTGCCCGTGTACACCTGCATGTTCCAGGCAAAGCTGGACTGTGCATCACATGCTGCCCATATTTTGATGCCATATTTAGCAGGTTTGCTAGGCATATACTGTCTGAATGGGCAGCGCCCACGAAACGCAACCAGGCACTCATCGACAGTCACGTGAGCTCCTGGATTATAAAGCAGGGGTAAACGCTGCACCCACTTGTCCCACACATCCCTTACTGCAGCAAGTTTGTCACGTTCTCGACGGCCCTGCCTTGTTTGTTTGTCATCAAAGCGTATGACACGAGACAAAATGTGGAATGCCTTCAGAGACATGGTGGCTGGAAATATTGCCCTTCCAGTCTCAGCATTCCAAAGACTTGCTGTTGCTTCACCTTTTGACTTATAAACTCCTGCCAAAATTAGCAAGCCAATGTAGGCTTCCAAGTCAACTACATCCAAGTCTTTCCAACTGTCCCCATAAACACGCTTTCCCTCTAAATTTGTCATCCCAAGCACAATATTTTTAATTGATGGTGTTATGAAGAGCTTGAATGATGACTTGATGTCATCAACATGGCTGACTGCATATCTGGTGGGTCCTGGAACCATTTTGATTATATTACTTGCGCTATGTCTACCCTGCTGTTTCAGTGGGGAAAGGGACCATATTATTTTTCCATTTTTGGAAGAAATTGTGTCTGCTGGTGGTTGAGGGACAACAGGAGGGTCAACACTCTCATTCTCATCAGATGAGAATTCCTCAAAATCAGGGTCCTCCTCAACACAATCCTCAGTCTCAGAGACAGTCTCCTCTAAGTCACTTTCACTGTCAAAGAGCTGCTCCAAAACCTCTTTGACAGTAAACCTTTTTCCAGAAGACATTTTCAAAGAGAGAGTGTGCAGATTGCAGTATACTCAGAGCACAGTGAGGAATGATTTGGATAGAGGACTGTAGTGCAAGCTTATGTTTGCTCCTCCCTGATTTGGCATGAACTACCAATGGCGTTGTAGGAATAACCCGCCCTTCACAAGGCGGGAAAAATCAGTTCTACTTTGGCAGGTGTGAGTTCAGAAGTTCACACAGATCCCCAGATGTCTCAGTTCAAATGTATCAACTAAAATGTATCAACTCTGCACCTGCAGGTGTGGTCATGTTAGGTCACTGACAAGTTTTAGCAGCTAAAACAGCTTGGGGTCAAATTGACCCCAGAGGATAACCAATGCGTGTAATATGTGTTCAGCACATTAAAAAAATAACATCACAAAAATTTTATGCTTTACCAGTTGTCCCCATCAAATTAGGAAAAGTCATGAAATATGAAGCAAAAAAAAAAAAGTTAACTACTATTTTTTGAATGATAAACATTGAATGGGGTCAAATTGACCCCAAGGACGACAGGAGGGTTAAGCTGAAAAAGGCTACGAACCAACACATAACACTGACATAAGCCCAGAAGGTCAATTATCCTCGAGAGAGGATTCCCTTAATGGTAGCCAAATACTAAACATTTCGCTATTCGGGTGGAGACAAGGGATGGGAGCATCCAGCACCTCATGACCAACAGCTAAGATACACTAACCTAAATCAAAAACTGTACGTGCAGCTTTTTTACCCCCCCACCTGATTCCTTATTAATAAATGCTTTTCAGTTTCCTAGCATGAAAAAAAGTGCATAAGCATGTTCCATATGTCATGCTTAACTACTAATTTCAAAGTAAACATTTCAAAACATTTTCAATTTTATGGTCTAAAGTCCTTTAGCATGGGTGCTTATGTCAACATCGTTTTTTTTTTAATACCACTTCATGTTTACAACACCAACTACAACGTTTGCTGCGAAAAAAAGGAGGCCTGTATTTAACAAACTGGTCCATGTGTGAAAAAACATAAACAGGTGTGAAAAATCCAAGCAGTCACTATAGAACAGGACCCCTGCATACAGGTCGGAAGTTTGGTTTCTGTTAAAATAAAGAGAAAAATAGAGAAAATGCTGCATCTCTCCTTTGCTTTTAAGAGAGAAACATCTAATGCTTGCAGGTATTTTTTAGCCACAAAAAAAGGACAGTTATTGCTTGGAGACTAACATTCAATGCGTTTAACAGATGAGCACACATCTGTTCTGCAGCAATTCAAAGCAGGCTATTTGAGCACTGCTCAACAAATTAATATATACTCTAAGTTTTGCTAAATAAAAGTAAAACCTTGAAAAAAAAAAGGTAGAATTTCTCCAAAATATATAATTTTACTCAAAAACTTCTCTGAAACGGATGCGACATTTCATCAAAATGTTGGAAAGCAAACATATCATATACATTTTTTTGTTGTTGTAATAATTAAGTTAAATTACTTTTCTTTAAATAAAAGGAGTATCATTGCTCCTCTGCATTGAAAACCAGCTATTAAATGAGAATTTAAACTTGCTGCTAAAATCTAAGTCAGAGTTTGCCAAGTGAATTGCTTGTTTAGTTAATTTCATCAGCTGAATTTCACTTCCAAGAGATAAGAGGCTGAAAAGAACTCCCATCTATCAAAACTTTTGTGCCTTCTTCCACCCTGTGTGCCCAAGCCAAACAAACAAACACAGCCAGACAAATGGTCACTTCTCCGTCTTGTGACAAACAACAAACCACTTTATCTCTCCAATCTCTACCCTCACCGCCTGACCACTCTCTCTGACATCTCTCCAAATCAGAATTCCTCTCCTTCCCGCCTCATCCATAAACGTCTCGGTGGAATAACCCTGATAGTCTGTTTTGCTCTCATTTCGCAACAAAAGCCGATGACCTCCACCCAGTCATGGATCCAGTAGTGAAGCCCTGTGTGGTGAAACCAAATGCTTACCTGCACGCCCAGACATGTGTTTCACACTACTAACGGTTCCCTTTTGTCTGTGTGTTTACACTGCTGGGTTAAGATTCGTCCTCTTGCTCCCATGAACCATTAGCACATTCGCCATGGGATGTGGCATCACTCGGGCAACAAGGCACACAGGACCCCATTAGAAACCGTTTTCCTTTTTTTGTTTTTTAGAACATTCAAAAGGACAATTTCATTTTTTTCTTTGTATGTCTGCCGCTTGCAATTGTGTTTAAGAATATGTGGTAACAAATATACATTTCATATTAGTTGCTCACAACAAATCACACCTGAAAAGACAAGGAGGATTTGTGTTGTTATGTATAGTCGGAACAGCACAAATCAGCTTCAGCTGTCGCTGCCTTGCTGGAGGATAACCAAGGCATGAAGGCTCTTTGATCTGTTTTGTCTGAGTTTCTCAGGCATCGTAATAATTCATCAGCGAGAAAACATGCAGAGTGTACGCATTCACTGACAAAGTTAT